ATTTAATTTATTTTCAAATCCTCATTCTTAAAAGTGAAATTCTATATTTTGGAAATTTTGCATGAAATCTGTCAACCACGTTGTCATGGTCGAGGTTGCTTCACCTATCACGATGTATTCCAACCATCATGAGGCTATTTAAATGAGCATTTGTCATAACATAACGCAAATTATTTTTAATTATTCTCATTGAATTATTATTATTATTATTATTGTTATTGTGGTTGTTGTTGTGATGAAAAGTTAACATAAACGATATGGTGGCTAAACGAATATTACATGTAAATATTTTTTTTTTATTTGTTTGTTCCCCGACAAAATTTATCGTCTTCCCCGACGGGGGGGGGGGGCTATAGCCCCCGAGCCCCCTCTGGCGCTACCCCTGCATTAGACTAATACCTGAATACCCCTACATATGTGTGTTATGTTACATGCAGGAAATACTGAAGAACTAGAATCATAACATGACTGCATTATATAAACATATTGTAGGCCTATGCTAGAATAAGATGAGACGTAAATCGTTTCATCATAAATCACCTACTCGTATTTGAACTTTTTGTATTAACAAAAGCTTACCTATATGTTTAGATGTTGGGTTCCGATTGTATAATTAAATTCACTAGAATGCACTTTAACGGTGTACATATAGTCCAGACGCACGGTAAAAGTAGCTAAAGCATTACAACGAAAACCATATGCGATAGTACAAAGATAACAGCAACACTTGAATAATTTCTACATCTACTTCAGAAGTGGGGGATTTAGTTAAAAAAACAAGACTGACTATCTTCTGGACAATGCTTCGTCACGGTCGAATGCCTCTTGTAGCGATCATAACATTGAAGAACTGTATGCCCACGTAAGTGGAATAAACGCTGTATCAGTTTTTCCACTGGGACTATTATTGCCGCTTATGCGTATGCGAATCTTCCTATTAGATATATCTGTTAGTTTAAGATAGAGGGCGGTGTGTGCAAGATTTGTTTTCAGTGACGTACCATATTCGCAATTTCCATACGAATTTTCCGGCCTTCTACTATAACACAATGATAATCAGGGGAGAATTAAAGATGGGATAACCGACCCAGCCCCTTCCCCCAATAAGTATTTGAAAAAGGGGTGGAGGGAGATATCCACTATTAAAGTATTTAATTCTGAGAGTTCCTCCGAACATTATGTCGCGATCTACCTTTCATAGATATTTGTAAATCGGCCTCAACCATGGTGGGGTGGTTTAATCTGTAAATGTCTCTCTACTACTACTTCTATCTCGAATTCCTAGATTTGCCATTGATGATGATGGTGATGGTTTGCAACTGCAACGTTATAACTGCAACGTGGAATATGAATATTAATATTTAATCGAATTTCAAATAAATGTGATCTAGGTGTCTATACAAGGTCGACAGATCGTGAATTTTGTTATGTACACTTACAGCATATATCCAATGAAATAAAGATGCTGCATATGCAAAGGAATATTCCCTTAATTTTAACAGTGAATCTCACTCTAAACAGTGTGTACAGTGATCACTACAATTTCACTCTTTCTCGAGTGAAAATTCGCTCTTAAATGAGTGAATATCATTCTTTAAATACGGTAGTGAAAAATTAGTAAAATTCACTCTGATAGTGAAATTTTCTCTTTTTTACTCTATCTATTTCACTCTATTGAGGCACTCTTTCACACTTTTTTCACTCTTACATTAAGGGAGTATAATTATATAGGCCTACTATATAAATCATCAAAGAAAGGTAAATACAGTGTTCGAATAAATCTAAATTATAAATATAATATACATATATATATTTCGCCACTGAGGAAGGACTAGTGTTGTCCGAAAGCTCTGGTTCTATTTCTGGCTGTTTTCTTACGTTTACTTTTTAGCTGTTGCTTATCATTTTTGTATCTCTACTGAGATCCAGCCATTGTTTCCCACAGCATTGTTGTCTGTCTCTTATACACATCTAGATGTGTATAAGAGACAGGGTCAAAGCCTAATTTTCAGCAAAAATCTAC